TTGGTGGTGCGGTTATGATTTTAGCCGAATCGACCCCGAATCGAACCGTTGTCATCCCTACTATTTATTGAGGAAAACAATACTTGCCTTCAAAATGTCTTTCCACTCCACAATAATTTAATAACTATTGTTTAGCTAATAAATAAGCAAAAAATGCTAACTTCTTAAAAATTAAGCCCATCCAAACTGAAAATACAAAGTTCTACTCAAACTACACCTAGAGGGGGTGAATAGGTGATTATGATGAATTAAAACCTTAATAATTAACTAGCAATCACTATTAATTATATTAGATGATTAATCAAATAGTCAAATTTTCTATGTTGAAATACCGCAATTATATGAAAGCAATAACAAACACAAGAAATGATCAAGGAGAAACCCCAGTTGGGTAAAAATTTCGGGCACTTTACTAGTCAACAATCCACTATAAACGAATTAAAACTTAAAGAAACTCTGACTGCAATTCCCACATCTCTCCTGGATTTCGTGCTCCTACACCAACTCTCAGCTGCAGTTTTCAAAACTCTCCTGAATTGCACTCTCTTGCAGCAACTCCTAACTTTGTGAATTCATCTATTTTCTGTGGATTAACGAAGAACTCCTCGTTCTTCAACGACTGAAATCCCAGTCACCTTTCCTTGATTTTCAAAACTCTGACAGATATGTAGAAAGTGATAGTTTGGTATTTGGATTATGGGTTTGATATTTTTCACCGTCAAGAACCAATGACAGAACGAATGTTGAAAACTAAAGTAATGAAAATAATATAAAGAAAATGTGTTTTTCGCAATGTTCAACCTTAGGAAAAATAATATTCAAGGGCATTCTGTTATTTATATGTAGGTTAAAGAATGAATTGGCCAGATAAGAAGTCTTAAAAAATCGAATTAAAAATTCTCCGAATAACTCCGTCGCTCGAGCGAGAGTTGGATGACAGGGAAGCGACAGTGTGTGGCTTGAGTGAAGCCTTAGCAACAAGCTAGCGACAGTATTACTGTTTGTGACGTTCGAGCCAAGTCATGAGGACAGTCTAGGGAAATTGTAGCGCCATTTTTTCTTATTTTCCATTCTCGAACTCTAAACCTACTATAACTCAATTTTTACTATTTGCATATTACTTCTTGACTTTTATAACATATTATTTTTAGTCCATTTTATTCACAAACTTACCAATTACATTAAATACCTAACACAAACGTACACTCAAAAGTTACACCAAGAGTTGGTCTAGATGTAGTAATTCACGTAAAAGTAGACGCAAAGCATCGAACAAAATTATCGTTTTCAATCAAGATTCAACCTCGTGCACCAAATATAAATAGTCGAAATTCATGTTTCTAGATAATATAATACCTATCAACAAGTGGTGGGTATCTCAATTATTTTCTAGATAACTCTAAAATAATGGTCCCAACCCCACAATATATGTTGCCATCCATGTCAGGAAGATAAGCAAATTGCATGTTAATGCTTCTTACTTGATAGCCATCTCCATCATCCATTTCTGGAGCTGTGTACGACTTTTGTCTGCTTTTTCTAAGAGTCGTGTTCGTCTTAAAAACGTGTTTTTTAAGAGTGCACGAAGCGCTGCGATTGAATAAGACAATAAATAAATACTATATGTATTCTTTTCTTATTTTTATGTGATAATTTTCATACCACATATTAAAGTTCATTAAAAGATTCATTCGACGAGGGATAAAGGAATCGAAATTCGTATTATTAAAATTATCAAACTCCTTCTGACCATTCAATCTCTGGAAATTTGCATTGAACGTCTTCAACCTCTTATCCTACGAGAAAATTTGCTTATTCTTTGTTAAATAGTCACGAGACTTTCATTCAACGATTTAATGAAGATTAAAATAGCTTTTGTAGCAAGGATTGGTTGTGCAACTACATTTAAAGGTGGAAAATCAATTTGCAATATTTAAGCATTGAGGACCAACTTATTTTTTGAATAATAGGTTGAGGACCAAGGTGCAATTCTCCCCCAAAACAAAAATGCCTTAATTTCCTCTTTTATTTATGTGACAATAATGGCAGACAAGACGAGGCATTTTTTGCGTAAGGTAATTGACAACCAACTTGTGTTTGAATGGGACATAATGGGATTTTTCCAAATTGTACTCTGTAGTCTATCTCTAAAGTGGTCCCACATGTTCTCTTAGAAATGGATTTTCTTACAACCTAACACTTGTATCATGTGATAAGGGATAACATTTTCTTGAACCCTCCTCAAGTTTGTGAAATTATTAGATAAAAAGAAAATAAGAAGTGATATAAGTCATAAAAGTTTACCGTAAAAATCTTTATCGTGACAAGAAGATAAAGTGGGAATAAAGAAAAAAAAATATTCATGATTTATCTCATCCTCTTCCATAGACATCTAACTTTGGACGGCTATAATTATTATATCACGTGTTTTTTACCCTCATTGTTTGATTTTCATTATTTTTAAAATATATTTTTTATCTCTCTTATTTTCAACAGACAATTCTTCAATAAAATGATATTACATGTAAATTTAAAATTTTTTCTTAATTTTTGACCACACGTTCTTCATTAAAATGTTATTTAAAAATGTATTTTGGACAAAAAAAATGGGGCTCAAACAGGAACCATTAACGCTCCCTAATTGGACATGTTCGAGGTCGCCATACTTCAGAATTTTGAGAGCTAAAATTAAGTTGGAAATAGAATGGAATAAAAATTCAAGTGACAAATTTTAATTTCTCTCAAAAACTTGAGGTTTGTGGGGATATTCACCGTTGTAATAGGCAAGCAATAGGTGAACATAAATTTGATTGTACTCTTTAAAATTTTGAAAGAATCAGTTTGCTCATTTAAATAAGCTCGTGTCATATTATAAGCTTTTGTTTGGCACAAATTTTTAAAAATTTATTTTTTAAGTTCATTTTCAATCATACATTCGCCAGATAATACAATTTTAAACATAAATTCAAAATTATTCGTACTTTTGAATCACACATTTAAAAAAAAAAATCGCATTTGAAAAAATATACTCCCAAAAAACTGTGTCATCTAGTTTTAGATTTCATGAAGGATGCATTTGATTGCGAATATAAAATTTGCATGAAAAGAAAATAAATATGTTCGTTTGATTTAGTTTACAAAAAAAATATATATATCATCTGCTTATTTGGTAGAGATTTTTGGAGGAATAATTGATTTTTGAATAGTAATATCATGAGAAATATGTAGTTGAAAAAGAAAAAAAAATTATTGATGTGATGGAAAATATTATTTCATTGAAGAATATACAGTTGAAAATGAGAATTGATTTATTGTAAAATTTGAGAATAAAAAACAAACAGTCCATATATTTTTCAATTTTTTATTGATGGGTAAATGAGAGATGAAATAGACGAAAATGAAAGAAAGTGAATTACCTGAAAAATAAAAATTAAACATCCCTAAAGAAGTTTTTTCTTGTTTTTGAGGATTATTTGGTCACGTTACCAAAAGTTGAAAAATATTTTCAATGAAAAAAATTATCAATCAAACACCGCAAATTGAAAATTTGAATTAAATGTGCATTTGATTGAAAACGTGAAATTTGTATGAACAGAAAATAATTGTGTTTGGTTGATTTAATTTTCAACAAAAAATTTATAATTATTCATTTTTTATTGATAGGTAAATGAGAGATGAAATAGGCGAAAGTGAATTACTTGAAAAATAAAAATTACACTTCCCTAAAAACAGTTTTTTATTGTTTTTGAGGATTATTTGATGTTGCAAAATATTTTCAATATAAAATATTATCAATCAAACACTCCCTAAAGTGAAACTTTGAATGAAAAAATGATATTTTTATGAAAAATAAATTCAATCAAATATAATCTAATTTTTATGAAAAAATTCATTTTTAAACATTTATGCAATTCACAATTTTTATTAATTTTGAACCACAAATTTCATCAATTTTTATCCTCGTTTACTCGAAATATAACTTTTAGCCAAACCAAACGGAGGCTAGTTCAGAAAATGGCAAATCCAAGGAAGATAAATTGAATCACCATTTTTTCTCTTCTACAATGAAATATGATGAACTGAATAGGGGGGTACATTCGATATTCTACAAATTAAAAAAAAAAAAACCTAAAATGTTTCATTTTCCTTTATAATCCACACCAACTCTTTTTTTGTTTTTTTTCTCTTCAACCCCCCTAACTTTTCTTGTCTTTCACTTCTACCCTAAAAACTACATGAAAAGCTCAGACTGCAATACAGTGTAGTAATTAGCAGCCTCATCTTCAAGCTCCCAGAACCCATCAAACGAAGCAGCAAAATCATTATAATTCCCAGAGTTGATTTCTTCAACTTTGTTGTTAGTGTTAGGGATTCCAAGCTCGTCATCAGAGGCTTCAAGGAGGTGTCTAATTACTTTAATACTATCATCTTCTTCTTCTTCTTTAGGGCTACACTCACCGCAGCCGGAGGTTGTGGTGGCGGCGGGGCCGGGCTGATGGTCCTGCTCAGCTTCTGAGACCGTACAGGTTAAAGGGTCACCAGAGAGTTCTTGTTGGAGAGTAGAGAAAATGGCTGATAAATCTTGATTTGGCTCATTTTCTTCTGGTTCTTCGTCAAGAATGGATAATATGTTGTTGTATGATTTGTGGCGCTTTGAGTCTGAATCTTCAAGCTCAATGACTTGTTCATGGGATTCTTCTCTCTGTCGTTTCGATTGAGTTTCAGCCATTTGAGAGAGAGGGGGAGGAAGAGTATCAGTGAGAATGTGATGTGAAAAAAGGGTAGGGTTTGAAAGGTTTATATAGAGAGAGAGGATATGGGAAGTTCCGGTCAAAGATAGAAAGTGAGAATATTTAATCCATTTTTAATTTTCACTCCCTCCATTGGTGAGTGTGAGAGAGATGTTGATAGGTGAGAATATTAATTTTAATTAATTTATAGTTGATCAAATAAATGATTTATTATTTAAGCGTGAGTAATGCTATTTAACTCTATTAAAATTGCAATCCCAATTTAGATGTCGTTTATATAACATTAAATGATTAGTAGAATTAAATAACACATTCACATTTCATTTCATTTATCATTTAGCGTCATCTAAATTGAAATTGCAATCCCAATGAGATTACACAACATTATTATTTAAGCATAGTATTACCTAGTGGATTGTTTAATTTTTAAAAGTTATTCATAAATTAGCCTTTGTTTGGTAAATAATGTTTTGAATAATAATTTTTAGAAGAATGTGTAGTTAAAAAGTATGAAAATTTTTGAATTTACGTGTAAAATATTTTAGTGTTTGAATGTATGGTTGAAAATAAGTATGTAGAAAAAAATTTGAAATTAATTGTTGCCAAACATGGGCTTAATTGGTGTGTTTTATAGTTGTTTAGTATCAATGGTTCTTGGGGACCATTTGATAAAACTTTTCAAAAGTTAAAAGTTGTTTCTGAATATGTTTGAATAATTTTTTTAAAGTATTCTGAATATATCAGGATAATTTTTTGAAAGTACTTTGTCAAACTGAAAGAACTTTTAAAAAAAATTAGTTGAAAATAAGTTTATCATGAAAGTCCTTATTAGATCAATCTCTATAATGGATAAATAATAACGTCTATGTATCACCTCTAATGTTTATCAACAAATCTAAGAAATATAGAGCAGACTCTACCTTTATACCCTAGGATAAGGAAATTTAATGAAGATGCTTTTAGTACTTTAATGAAGATTATGATAAAAATTATGGATTCTCGAATTTGAAGTTCAATAATATATTTATTTTACGTAAAAATTGGAAGTAGGCAATAGGAAAAGTAAGAATAAGAATAAACATATTTACGTGAAAATTTTAGATGGAAAAAAGTCACAAACAGAAGAGGAGGAGAAAAACCATTACATCAAATATGAGTACAAGAGAAGAGCGTCTTGGACGACTACTCCGAGTAATATGATAAAACCCTAAAGTACATCATATACGGCCCTATCAACCCGATCCCTCCACTATCACCACATACTTATCATAATTTTAGGTTCATCTCATATGTTGCACTACAAACTTTCGAACCCTGCTGAGTTGTCAGGGAGGGTTTCAAACCCTCCCTGAGCCTACTCACAACATGGGGGGTAGGGAGAATTTTTTTCTTTTTTAATTCATATGAGCCCTGCATGGATCTAACCACAAATGTGAGAGGATGTCAATCAAAGCGTCAAATTTATTCTGACAAAGTGGC